TAATTTTCCCCCGCGGGACGGGCATGTTTTTAATATAAACGAAAGAAACATTCACGTAGCGCCTTATACGAGCTCTGCTGCATCCACTGATTATTTTATAACTCAAAACAGAACGCATGATCTCAGACAACCTCTCAAGATAAGCAGACAGATAAACGATGTAAGACACACGAAGATATTAACCCTTCATTTCTTGCTCTCTTTCTATCCTCTCTATCTCGGCTACTCATGAGCCCCGAACTGCTGAGTAAATGAGATAGTTAACTCGCACCATCAGTCATCAGTCGAAGAAAAGCAAAAACAAGCGGCTGCCCCGCCACGAGTGATCACACGGTGTTTGGCAATTTGTTTGCCGGCACATACCCCACTTGCGAAGGCATCATCCCGTATGCGAATCACGCCGTTGGCTCCTCTTCTTCGGGAGAGGTCCAGCTTACGTCGCACGCCTAGCAGCGAACGCCTGAATCTGCTTTGGAAAGCTCTCGTCGGCACGCACAGACCCCTTTTTCTTGAAAAGTCTGTCCTCCATAGCTGCGCCCACTTTGGCGTTCCGCGTTTGTATTGTCGCTGAGCGCGGGACGACAGAAGGCTTCACAGTGCATTTCAATTTTCAAACCATAGTGAGTTTCTTTCTTGGTAGACAATACGTGGAGCTTTCGCTTATCGCTTTTGTCGTACTTTTTTGTTTTATTATTTCGGAACTGGATACAACGGTAGAATAAACTCCGCAAACACAAACGTTTGTTTGTTTCTGCGGTTTCAATTCTTAAAGGACCCAAAAATACCGACAAAGCGTTATCCCCAAAAAGATATTCAAATACTGCATGTTAGAGGTTCGCGTCTATGTTCGTATACGTGACCGTTCGCGAATATATGTGCATACGCCACCGGAATGGGTCCTCAGATTATGAAAGTTTTAGCTACAACTTGTTTATACCATCGATTACTGAAATACTGAATGGAAAACCGGGTAACGCAACACTGTCGAATGCGGAGGTGGTAGCAATTTGAGAAGCAAGTCACTTTATTTACGTAAGAAACGCAAATAATTAGTAAATAATTTCAAAATCAAAGGATCCATTCAAATTTTTAAATCCATAAAAACTAAACATCAATGCGCAGCTTAATCACGAGGTACTATATAGTCACCAAGAAGATGTGCACAGTGAACATTCACTCATTTTACAGTGAGTTCTTAATTAGTGCAATATTCAAGACAAATAAAAGTGCTGATGTGGGGCAGAGAAAGATGGTCGCCGTCTTAATTCACGTTTCTTGATCATATTGTCGCGTTCAGATTCCAGAACAGCAACTATAACCATGCTACTCAAGATCTACTGGATTCCTCTTGGACGGATTCATTGCATTATCACGGACGCCTGACTAGCAAAAACACAGCAAAACCTTCTCGATCTTCTTTCTTCTCCTCACGCTTCGAAACATCGGACAGCAAATGCACTCCGGAGAACACGAATCAGCTTAGCCTCAACGGGACATCATTGGAGCTTCATTGGCAAGCTGGACCCTCGTCAACCATTTCGTCGTTTACCCTGAGACTGGGGGTTTTTTTTGAAGAGCAGAAGAAACAGAAAAAACAGACAGGTCTCAAACTCAGCTACACGTTTATTTCAAAACCTTCCTCTTATATAGTTCGTTTTCGTCGTCAACAACCAATCACATACGACTTGTCTCGACTTGTCCTTCGCACCGTGACTTTACAGGTTCCACTATATCACAAAAGAAGCGGACACTCCCAACGTTTCCAAGTGAAAAGGTTCTAGCAGAAGATATGCCTCACAAAGCCCCAAGCAACTCTTTTGTGTCCTCACAATAAACAGGACAACAGCCAACAACAACATCCCACTCAAAACTGGTCACCTCCAAAATTGTAGAAAACAGACAATACACACCGGTACACACCACAGACAATACACACCAACAAAGCCTTTCAAAATGACTAACTAAAAAAAAAAAAAAAAAAAAAAGCACCTAAAATTGTAAAAATTGCTTGCAGCGGTTCCCTATTTGCATGGAAGGTTGATAATGCAATTTCCCAACGATCTAATCCTAATTGTTTCTCTTACCACCCTTTTAACATCGTTCCTTTCCTTAACAACTACATCCGTTCCAGACCAATCCGTTGTGCAGTTTCTACACTCCTCCAGATGCTTAGCCAACTCCGAATTTGCTGCATTATTTTTAACATTCCTTTTGTGTTCTGTTAAACGATCGTTTAAACACCGAGAGGTTTGGCCTACATACTTAAAACCACACGCCAAAGGAACCTCATACACCACGCCTACGCTACACGGCACCGACTTTTCCCTATGCGCCTTCTGACAGCCCCTCTGAGCCGTTTCAAAAGGTGTCAATCTATCTAACCTAAAATCCGTGCTGAATACGACATCCACGCCATATTTTTTTGCACATGCTCTAAGATTGTGGGACACCTCGTGAAAATACGGAACCACAGCGTACCTATTCCTGATTTCTTGCGTCTTCCCCTTTTTCTCCCTGCACTGTAGGGCAATCTGCCTTTTGATGTACTCTTCCCCATATCCTGCCATTACCAGTCTTTCCCACTGGTTTTTTAGTGCCTCCGGTCCGAAATGCATGCATGATCTCACCAAAGCATTACTAATCAAAGATCTGACTACCCCGGCTTTTACATTTTTCGAGTGACAGCTATTCTTTGACAGAACCGGTTTTGGGTTTTCCTTCCCATACTCCCAAAAAAGACCTCGTTCCAAATGCAAACGCAGGTCGAGAAATTGCAGGACCTCGCCCCTTGGCCTCTCTAACGTGAATCTCAACTCTGGCGCCGCTGACCTTACTACTTGTTCTAAAACTTGGTCCAATCCTTCCTGAACAGAGCAAACTAAGATATCATCCACAAATCTTTTCACAAAACACTTTGGAGACAACTCCTCTACCTTGTCATACACTTGCTGGTCCACCGTGTTTAAGTAAATTTCCGCTAACAAAGGCGCTACAGACGAACCTATACAAACTCCCTCTTTTTGCACAAAATTGCGACCTTCGTATTCCAATACCGTTGACTGTAAATAAAGGTCTAGCACCGAAAGAAAACTATCCACCGCTATTCCTGTTCCTGATTGAAACTTAATAAGGTTCCCTTCCAAGGCGATCCTCACTCTATTCATTAGTCTGCTTTTCTCGAAAGAGTAATATAGGTCCTTGATGTCCATGGAGAATACCGCGCACTTCCTTCCGTGAAACTTTTCCATTACTTCAATCAACTCACTAGAGTTCTTTAAGGCAATTGACTTCTCCAAATTAGCTAACTTCCAACCCCGCTGTAAGAAGCATGAGACCACCTTCTGCCACGTCCCATTCTCGTTAACAACGGTACGAAGGGGCATTTCAATCTTGTGATCCTTCAAAAAGAACTTAAGGGTGAGCGTTGAACGCAACGGTTTCAAAACGCTTTTCGCTACCTCTTCCATGCTTTCCTCCTGAAAAACCTTGCAAATGCTTTTCCTCAGCTTCCCGATATTGCCCTTCCATTCATTAAACAATGATCCCAACGCTTCCTCCGACTTCTTCTGAAAGGCCTGTACAGGCAAAACTGCAAACCTTCCTGTTTTATCTGTCTGCAACAGTTTTAACGAACTCCTTTCTAACTCTTGTTTCACCGCTCTCACATCCTTGAAATTCCTCCTATCGATGGGATACGCGTTTCCCATTAATTTTTCCATGCGCCCTACAGCATCTTCGACAAACGCAAACTTCTCCTCACTATCCACAACCCTGGCGATTGACTGTATGTCAGAAAACACGTCGAGTCTAGACGGCTTAACGTTTACACAGTACTTCGGACCTCTACCCAAGAACTCCTCCAATTTCTTTGACACCACTACATTTTCCGGGTTAATTATACAATGCTGTTGTTTACAATTTCCCGTCCCCTGTACACACTTATTTACCTCTGCCCCCCGAGAGTTCCACAACTTGAAACTGTCCAAAACATGCCTCCTTTTGACATACCACGCACGGTCGAAATGTGTCCTCATGACGGCGCTCCAAAGATGGTAGTCTCCATGCCTCCTGAAGGGGATACGGCCCATTCGTCACATGTCGATTCGTCATAGGGCAATTGGTAACAGGCCCGTTCGTCACAGCGGAACATTGGTCATAGGGTGCTTCGTCACGCTGGCAGTTCGTCACACAATGACTTCAAGATTGTTAAACGTTTTTTTTGTTTTTCTATCTTGTTTTCTTAGGAAAGTTACGAAAGGGGGCCACTTTATTAAATCCATGCAAGGCCAGTGAGGTTTACTACGGGGAAACAAAAGCATGTCCCAATGACCCCAAGTTAAGGCAGCCTGCAGCCTTTAGCCTGCATGTTGTCTTATTGGGGTCAACTTTCTTACAAAAGAACTTCGAGAACATAAAGTTCACAATAGAAAAAAGCCCACCAAACGCGATTCTTTTTTTTTTTTTTTTATGCCCCGTTTTAGGGCTTATTATGCCGGTTGCCCTCCGATTATAAAAATATCACTCTCGATTTCTAAATGGAGGTAGTTACTTACTGAGAGAGGTGGCGATATGCTTCTTCACGAAGGACATTCCTACACTTGCATTAAGGTTTACGAAACTACGTTCTATTGGGCCTGCCGGCGAAGGAGTTTGTAAAACTAAAATAGCCTCCGATCACGCCAAGACTCGTGTAATCTCTTGTTCAGGAGACCATACGCATGCATTTGACAACACCAAGATAAACGTGATTGGGTTCGTCATCAGATGGAGGAAAAAGCTGGTATGTACCAAAATCTGTTCCTGCTCTTATATTCCCAAAACAAGGTCACTAATGTCCTTTATTTTAGTGGAAGGCCGTCTAGCACCACACCAAATTCTTCTGGCTGCGGTTGCCTGTGTCAGTGACCACACTGCTTTGCAGATTCCCGCACCGCCAACACTTCGCCGCACCATCCGCAAGCAAAGGCAGCGGGTGAATTTCGAGTACAGCGTATCATCTTGCAGAGCCGACATACGATCGAATGCCCGCAGAGTTCAAAGTAAAGTGTATTGCAGTGCAAAATCACAGTGCGCGACATATTATGATAATAATGACTGTTTTACCTGCATGCAGACCACAGCCAAAGGAGACTCCTTTCTCTTCCATGATAGCGGAGAGGGCGACGGCGAAAGAATGCTGATCTCTGCTACCGAGCGCAACTTGAGCTGTCTGGCTCAGGCGACTACGTGGTTCGCGAACGGGACCTTTAAAGTGACCCCGGCACAGTTTTACTAAATGTACACGGAGCATGCCACAGTCAACGGCGTGGTAAAGCCAATGGTTTACGGCTTGCTGCCCAACAAATCTGAAGCTACCTACAAAAGGTGAGCATTCAAGAGCTCTGATAAACGTATAAAACGATACGCTCGGTGGTCCTATTATTGGATATGTGTTCAAACACTTCAAAATATGTTCGCTCGTATTAAGCTTTTCGATGTCGTTCTGAGTCACATGGGGGGCCAACTGCCTTGAGGTGGCTTACACGGGCTTCAAGATAGCGGCCATCAACGATACAAGGAGGCTTTTTCACTTATCCCAGTCGGTGTCTAGGAAGGTGTGCTCCAGTGGTCACCAGAGTCGCTACAATTCAGATGACGAGTTTGCTGTTCTGGTATGCGGCATTCTATTTATATGTCTTATTTTTGTCTTCAGGTAAGCTTACTTTATTTCTTGTTGATTTTCAAATGGGAATGCATCCAGCATTGGCCTTCTTGCCAATCGCCGACATTCCCGAGGCCTTCAATGTACTTCTCGAGGTTTTCCCCACCGATGCCTCACTAGTGGCGGACTACTTCGAGGACGTGTATATCGGGAGACCCCGTCGAAACGGCTTGTCGTTGGCCACCTCCCCTCCTCTGGTTTGGTCAGTCAGAGAATCAACACTAGCAGAAAGGCCAACAAGGACGAACAGCAGCATCGAAGCGCGGCTCCGGGGACTGCACGTTAGAACTGACCTAATCCTCTGTGAACTTGGACGTTTTCTGTAGTACATTTTTGCATTTGTGACTCAAAATTTCAGTACGGTGCCCAATCAAAAAACTTTCTCCACGCGTGTGTGTGTTCTTTTTTCTTGTTATCCTTAACAGAGATGAAGCTGGCTCAAGTAGCGGGCGGCACGACATCTTCGAGAGTGTCCAAGAAGCACGACGACAGCAACCGGCGTCTTCAGATCATTGTGTGCCGCTACAATGGTCGCAATCGTCTAGAAACCCTGAGGGCGGTAGCTCAGAATATTGCTTTTTAATTTTTTTTTATTTCGCTCAATAATTCTGTTGTTTTCTAAGTACAACGATGACTTGTTTTGATGTTCCCTCTCTTTAGTAAAATTACATATACCGTACTAATCTTTATTGCATGCTCAGCCAGGTGAATATATGTTGGGCAAATTCAAATATCCGGTTCGCACAGTGACAAACGTTCCTAGGGACAAATTCCCCTATGACGAATGTTCCGCGGTGACGAACGGGCCTATTACCAGTTGGCCTATGACGAATGCGCACATGACAAACGGGCCTACACCCCTCCTGAAGTTCTTTCCGAGAAGAAGATTCCAGAGTCTGTCACAGGCGCTGCGGATGTCTTGAACCCGTTGACCTGTTCCAGACCTGTAGGCTTTGATGACCTTCTTCTTGTCCTTCCATGGTATCCCGGAGGCGGCCAGTTGTTTGAAGAATAGCGGGTCCACATACTTTTTCCGCAGACACATCCCGAAGAACGCCACGTCGGCTTCCAACTCCGCCATCCGACGTCCCATCTTGTCCAGTGCCACATACGCTTGGCTGATTAGAAAGGCCGGAGTATGTGGACCCGCTATTCTTCAAACGGGATACGGCCCATTCGTCACATGTCGATTCGTCATAGGGCAACTGGTAACAGGCCCGTTGGTCACAGCGGAACATTGGTCATAGGGTGATTCGTCACGCTGGCAGTTCGTCACAAAATGACTTCAAGATTCTTAAACGTTTTTTTTCTATCTTGTTTTCTTAGGAAAGTTACGAAAGCGGGCCACTTAATTAAATCCGTACAAGGCCAGTGAGGTTGGCTACGGGAAACAAAAGCATGTCCCAATGACCCCAAGTTAAGGCAGCATGCAGCCTTTAGCCTGCATGTTGTCTTATCGGGGTCACCTTTTTTACAAAAGAACTTCTAGAACATAAAGTTCACAATAGAAAAAAGCCCACCAAACCTGATTCTTTCTTTTTTTTTTTTGTGGCCCGTTTTAGGGCTTATTATGCCGATTGCCCTCCGATTATAAATATATCAATCTCTATTTCTAAATGGAGGTAGTTACTACTAAGAGAGGTAGCGATATGCTTCTTCACGAAGGACATTCCTACACTTGCATTACGGTTTACGAAACTACGTTGTATTGGGCCTGCCGGCGAAGAGGAGTTTGTAAAACTAAAATAGTCACCGATCACGCCAAGTGTCGTGTAATCTCTTATTCAGGAGACCATACGCATGCACTAGACAAGACCAAGATAAACGTGCTTGGGTTCGTCATCAGATGGAGGAAAAAGCTGGTATGTACCAAAATCTGTTCCTGATCTTATATTCCCAAAACAAGGTCACTAATGTCCTTTATTCCAGTGTAATGCCGTCTAGCACCACACCAAATACTTCTGGCTGCGGTTGCCTGTGTCAGTGACGACACTGCTTTGCAGATTCCCGCACCGCCAACACTTCGGCGCACCATCCGCAAGCAAAGGCAGCGGGCGAAATTCGAGTACAGCGTATCATCTTGCAGAGCCGACATACGATCGAATGTCCACAGAGTTCAAAGTAAAGTGTACTGCAGCGCAAACTCACAGTGCGCGACATATTATGATAATAACGACTGTTTTACCTGCATGCAGACCACAGCCAAAGGAGACTCCTTTCTCCTCCACGATAGTGGAGAGGGCGACGGCGAAAGAATGCTGATCTTCGCAACCGAGCGCAACTTGTAGTGCGCTCGGTTTGCAACCGAGCGCACTACAAAACGTACGACTCCGACAAATCGTGAAAATTGAAGCGGACACGCCCGCTTCGCGCCCGCTTCAATTTTCACGATTTGTCGGAGTCGTGCGTTTTTTAGTGTCCTGTTTGGACACCCCTTCAGGCGACTACGTGGTTCGCGGACGGGACCTTTAACGTGACCCCGGCACAGTTCTACTAACTGTATACACGGAGCATGCCACAGTCAACGGCGTGGTAAAGCCAATGGTTTACGGCTTGCTGCCCAAAAAATCTGAAGCTACCTACAAAAGGTGAGCATTCAAGAGCTCTGATAAACGTATAAAACGAACTGCACGTAAAAACTGACCTAATCCTCTGAGAACTTGGACGTTTTCTGTAGTACATTTTTGCATTTGTGGCTCAAAATTTCAGTACGGTGCCCACTCAAAAAGCTTTCTCCACGAGTGTGTGTGTTCTTTTTTCTTTTTATCCTTAACAGAGATGAAGCTGGCTCAAGTAGCGGGCGGCACGACATCTTCGAGGGTGTCCAAGAACCACGAAGACAGCAACCGGCGTCTTCAAATCATTGTGAGCCGCTACAATGGTCGCAATCGTCGAGAAACCCTGAGGCTGGCAGCTCTGAATATCACTTTTTAATTTTTTTTTTTTATTTCGCTCAATAAATTTGTTGTTTTCTAGGTACAACGATGACTTGTTTGGATGTTCCCTCTCTTTAGTAAAATTAAATATACAATACTAATCTTTATTGCATGCTCAGCCAGGTGTATATATGTTGGGCAAATTCAAATATCCGGTTCGCATAGTGACAAACATTCCTAGGGACAAATTCTCCTATGACGAATGTTCCGCTGTGACGAACGGGCCTATTACCAGTTGGCCTATGACGAATGCGCACAAGTCGAGTCGAGTCGAGGACAAGTCGAGACAAGTCGTATGTGATTGGTTGTTGACGACGAAAAAAGGAAGTTTTTGAAATAAACGTGTAGCTGAGTTTGAGACCTGTCTGTTTTTTCTGTTTCTTCTGCTCTTCAAAAAACCCCCCCAGTCTCAGGGTAAACGACGAAATGGTTGACTTCCACCAGCTAGCCTGTACTTTGACTCTTTTCTCGTGGACCCTCGTACCTCTCTGCGAAAGCTGTGACGTCATGGAAGCTCTTAATTATGTGCTTTTCCAATTTATACTGTACAGACGTGAAGGAAAGAAAAAAACTAAGCTCGCTTTTTGTTTTTTTAACACGAGCAAACGCTCACGCTAGCTCACCTGTTCTCGGGCCCTGGTAACACCTCCTAGGCTAGGAAGGCCTCGGCGCTCTTTCCGCATGGCCGAAGGAGAAGGCCATCGGGGCCGCGCTAGAGTACGGAAGAGACGGCAACACGAGTGAATTTACCGTCACAGCGACGAGTTTTTACTGATGCAAGCCTGTTCCTTTCTTTGAATGCAAACTGTTACAACATTTGAGTTAAAGAGTTGATTTTCTTAGACTGCCAAATTATTGTTGCATAAAATCATTCATGTAATGTGCAAGAACACGGTAGGTGCATAACGAGGTCTTGAGATAGATAGGCTTCTCCTTTAATCGCAAAATTCTGGTTGATGTGGGCAATTGTCCTCGCAAGATGGATTATTTATGAACAATACTAGTCAAAACTTACTTGATAAAGAATGATTAAAAACGGCATTACACATTGCAGTACCAACACGGTTGATATAGTAAAAGGATGTAATAACTGCATTCTTGCCTGAATCTAACACCGCAGTGTATTTAAAAGCAAAACCCAAAGGTCCGGTATTATGTTCGTGTAAGGAAATTATACGAAGATCTTAATTTATTCTGAAGGGAAGTTTACATCTTACTTAGTTTAACTATATGAAGGGGACGAAAACAGAAAATAAGGAAGGGACATTGGCATGATAATTCACGAGGGAGCTCGTTATTATTTGAGGCTATAACAGAAGTATTGAGAACTAGGACACCTACGAAAAAGTATGAGGAAATGGATACGCGGTGTGCCGTATGCCTAGGGGAGTGCAAGACAATATAACATGGGGTTTTGAGATGCACAGGGCTTGCTCACACACTCCCAGAGGGGGCGACGTATTTAGCCGGAGCGCTAGGGTTCGCAGACGAGAATGGAAGAATTGATGATAAATGCACTTCAATAACAAAGAAAGCATTGGAAGACCGGTGAAAATTATCAAGGGAAAGTCGAATGGCGTACAACTAACCAGCACAGCTGTGGACAGGCGGGACAGAGGAAAATTGGGAGTCCCTCCCGTGTGGCTCCAGCCCAAAGTCTCGACCCTATCTCTCAGTGGGCCCGGTGTTGGGATAACTCCGACTATATTTGACCTGAGGAAAATTGGCAACTTTACGTCGGAGAAAGGAGGTGACATTTTTTTTTTTTTTGATCCCCCAAAAGTCATTTTGGTTATATCCTACACCGCCTGGTGATAGTTGCAAAATTGCAGAGGGGAAGCAAATTGGCTTGGAAGGGCGAAGGAAGGAATCGTACATTTGTTGTTGTTTTTCTTCAGTTTCTAGGCTAGGTGGCCCCAGCCACCTAGCCTAGAAGCGCGTTATAAAGGATAGATCCATTAGCACCCATACATCCATCCATCATCAAGTAGTATTTTTTTAAACAGTATTGAACAAAGAAATATAAGGCAGACTGCTAAACCAACTATAAGAACATTTTGCCCTGACCCTCCTTTTTATTGCAATGAAACTTTCATTTCCTCCATATCTACTTTTCTATGCCCTACCTTTCCTGCCCCGAGCGTAAGGTAGCCACCTTTCAGAAGATTCCCGTGAAATAAGCCCTTCACCGTTCCAATTTAGTTTCTCTGTCTCCCCTTCTACATATTAAACACATAGCTTGATCATTATAGCTCTAAACATTTAACAATGTCGTTTTTTTATTGTGTGCTCTAGTTTCTGCTTCGATGTACATGTATTACAGTCTGTGTCACATTTATTTCAGTGTGTATTTTAATTCATTTAGTGCATTGCGTGGTGTATTCTATCATGTGGCGAATATGTCTTACTACTCTGACATTGTTCTATGCTATCGTCACTTACTTGATTCGTTATGTGCGCTGTTGTATGCTTCAACTGCGTATCATTAAAGCTTTCAAACTCACCCCAAATAACC